TTTACTTAACGAACGAGCCGAACACGAGCTGTTCGCAAACAACGAGTTTTTTTTACAGCCCTATTTGTATTTGCGTCAAAAAAATCGGACGTTAAGCTTATGCTTCAGATTACCCTCGGATTAGTAGCAGATAATACCAAAGAATATCGGAAAATAATTGTCGTTTAAGTTTCTGAATATGCAACGCAAAAAAGAATGCAAATCAGATACAAACCTACTACACATAAAAAAAATATAAAAGAACGATTATATTTTCACAACCGGCACGCAATATAGAATACATATCACAACATTTTATCCAGCCACACAAACGTAGTTTATAGCTCAAACAAATATCAATATTAAAAAGTAAAATAATGTCAGAAATTGTCTCAAATAACAACAATAAAATTAACCAAAAATTTCAAAGTAAAAGTTTGAAGCTGAAAAATAAAAAAAATAAAAAGTAAATCCTATCCTTCATCTCCCTCCTCTTCGTCCTCCACCTCTTCTACGGATGTCATCGACCGCTTGCCCTAGCAATATGCTAAACTCTCCGCCATGTGCGTAATGGAATCCTTGACCTTTTGCTAGCCTTGTAGCATCTGTTCGCACAACTAGCGGAGCTCTTCGTTCATCATAGCAGCTTTCCTAGAAAGAGCATCCTGATCTAGTTGTGAGGAGCTCAGGAAACTCACTCAACTACAAGAGAACTAGGCTTTGAAGGCTATGCCCTTCACATCGAGACCATGGACCCTCCCCTTCTTCTTTCATTGTAGCGAACTGCCTAGCAAGAGCATTTTGATTTCGTTGTGAGGAGCTCAGGGAACTCACTGGACTACGAGAGATATAGACCTCAAAGGCTATGCCTATCACACCGAGGCCACGAACCCTCCACTTCTTCTTTCCCGCCGCCTGAGTCCAAAGCTCGAACTCGGACTGCGTTGTGGTAGAATGACTATCACTGTTGCTAGTGGAAGCCGTGGGCTGAGTGGCCAAGTGTCTCTCCTCTAGCTGCTCCAACTACTTATGCATAATTAAAACCAATGTTTAATTGCCATTTTGAATATTAAGAGTCAAAATAAAGTCTTAATTTTTTTTCTTACTTACAAAAACATTTCGAGAATGCTCCGAGACCCTCTGCTGCAACCTCAGGCTCCGATGGCTTCAAACATGCAGCTCTGCAATGGAGGGCTCATGGCTCAACTCGTTAGCCTATGTATCATAGGAGACTAGTTAGCATCACAAGATTACATCAAAGTTTGAATTTTTAAATGTTTATTCGAATCTTAACAACCTCATGTAGTGCTCAGTTTGGGGGACTGACCCTCCAATATGGGGCACAACTCCCCTATCCCCTGTCGTCCCCTGGTTCGCCAAGTTCGTGTGCCTCTTTCTCATACGCAGGAGCGACCCATGCTACGGTTAACTGACCCCAAAGCTCCTCACTGATCCAGGCAGGCAGCTCGGCCTTCTGATAGGTTGTTGTGAACATGTCCCCAAGCCAATGTTTGCCCCGAATCTCGAATATTCAGTGGATCTAGTGTTGGTGCTCTATGAGTTAGGTGAAGGACCTCTGTAATATAAAAAATAATCCATGTGTAAATATAACAAAATAAATTAAATTTATAATTTTGACTCAAACTCTCTGAACCAGATGTTTTAGTGGCAACAGGGATTTGCTTTCAAGAGAGAAACGGCTGATCATATCTAATCCAAATTATCTTTGTGATGCAGGTGACGTGCATCTTGTGGGGAAGGAATCCCATTAAGAAAAAAAATAGTTACATAAAAATATATAAAATGAAGAACAAACATAATATAATGTTAAAAATAACTTACGAGTCCCTCTTCAACAGTAAATGTACCTCACAGGGGCAAGAGTCGAGGGGTCAAGCTTAGAAGATGGCGCAATTGGTGGGGCTAGAAATGGTGGGGGGTAGTGTGGGTGTCGTAGCAAGTGTGGGAGAACTAGGTGGGAGAGTAAGCGTGCTAGCAACAGTAGCGCAGCAGGTGGGGGAGTAGGTGGGGGAGTAGTTGATATAGAAAGTGTGGCAGTATCAGGTGGAAAAGCAGATGTCGCAGAAGTAGCAGGTGGGGGAGCAAGTGCAGAAGCATTAGCAAAAGAAGTAGCTAAAGAAAATTACCCCCTCTTTCTGTTGCAGTAGGTGGTCTCTGATGTCCTCAGAACACTGGACCTCTTAGGTGGCTGACCACTTGTGGACATCGGTAAACAAAGAAAGGACATTAATAAAATTAGTACTGGCAACAAAAAAAATCACGAGCAAAAATAAAAGTAAAGTAAGGTACAAAACATTAAACATGTGTTAAATACAATTAAAAAAAAGAAGTAAGACATAAGTAGCAAAAGTAAACACAAGAAGGTGTAAAATTAAAGTAAGACACGTGTTGCAAGTACATCTAAAAATAATAAAACTAAAAGAAGAAAAGTAGCAGTAACCACTAATCCAAAATTACGTACCATTGTTATCACATTTCATTGGAGGACCTCATTGTCAATGATGAACATAAATTTCTTCTTCAATCCCATCATCATTCTCATGCACATCTTGAGGATCCTTTTCAAAAGTCTCTGCGGTATCCTCCAACACAAATGTTTTGTCATTTATGTTGGTTTGAATGAAAAAATGACATACCTTCCTCTGAGTGAATTGATTTTATAATACGTTGGAACTAAATAATTATTCTTTATAACCATAGCTCAATTAACTTTATCCCTTGCTCTACCAGAGTATCAAAGTTAATAAGCATGTATAGCTTGGCATGCCATAATAAATAGATCAAACTTAGCATATCGTTGGTTTATTTTGACATTGATGATACCATAAGGCATAAGTGTCCGGGTTCCTAAATTTGGAACATGATCGAACCACTGACAGTTAAATAAGTATACAATGTGTGTAGCATTACTGGGATATTGCAATTGAATTACTTTTTCAAGTACGTCGTAATAGCTAATCTCGTCATATGTGTGTGTATTTACTCTAACAGTGACACCACAGTTATATGTCTCTTCTCTTCACATCAGAAACTTATATGACATATATAACCATTTACATCAAAAATCTACCGTGTAACAATGCTGCGATTAGGCCCCTAGGCAAGATCTAGTAATCTCTGATCTGTGATTTTGTTGCTTGTATTGTGGACCTATAATAATTTCAGAGGTACAATTATTCTAACTTCAAACGTGATGATTATATTACATACATGTGATTTGAAGAGTTGCTTCAACGTACGTATAATTTGAACAATTTCAGAAATTCTGCTTCAATCTTCTTGTTTCTTAGAGACTCATCTTCCATATTCAAGCCGTCTAAAAATAATTTCCTCACATTATTGCATAAGTAATTTTGAATTAATTAGTATATATATGTGAACTTTCATCTTGC